CGTTTATCTGACCTATGACGCGTGAGACCTGCTCTCCTGGGGGAAGATCTGGGAGGAAGATGAGGTCTCGCTCAGCGATCTAACTGTGCAAACTCGGGAGCGCAGAGGAACCTCCAGGCTGACCAGCGCAGAGTCACGAGCCCCGTCCCGAAACAGGGGCAGGGTCCCGGGGTGCTCGGCGGCAGCGGGCGCAGGGAGAGGACTCTGCAAACAAGACAGGGCTGTGCAGGCCCGAGCCGGGCTCGCCGCAGCCTGCTGGGCACATGGCATCGGCTGGGATGCTGTTCTCATGGGACGCAGCTGAGCCTTCCGGCAAGTCTGGGAACCTGCGGGTGACTGCCTTTGTTGCCCTTGGGAGGAGAATGTTTACTGTTATTTTCCTGATTACAGTTGCTTCCTCCTAGGGAAAAAAACCCACAAACATGATTAACGTTCCTAATTAGGCCTGGGGCTTACTCCCCTTACTCAGCAGATTTCGACGTACGTTTCGTGGGAGATGATACGAACAATGTAATTAGACTTAACAGGCAGCTCAGGGCTGGAGGGAGAGACCCAGAGCAACACAATCCAAGCAGTACAGCGGCGTATGATTTACTGTTTAGACATTTCCCCCCAAAATAAAATCTCCTGGAGACTCTCTCCCCCAAACCCTGGAAAAAAAATCCAGGGACAGGATGGGACTGGCGTCAGGAAGATCGCGCAGAACCTCATGCAAACTCCCACGGCCCTTCTGCTGTCAGTCCCTGGGATCCCACATTCCAAGGTGAGCACGATTTCATCCACACCCAAACGCACATTTCCAGCCGAAGACTGAGCACGGGCCAGGGTCCTGAGAAAGGTCTTGGCCTGACACCTCCTGGCTCCTTTCATGCGCAGTAGCAGTTGGTGCAGCAAAACACAAGCTCCCTTTCCATATAGTGTGGTGTTGCCTTTGGGGACAGGGGTGGCAGCGATGTCCAGCCCAGGACTACATTTCCCAGCACCCCTTGCAGTCAGGCATGGTCATGTGACCAGCTCCCACCAATGGGATGTGAGCACCTTCCACTGAGGGCATGTGTGTCTTGAGTCCCTTCCAAGCTTGGCCTCTGTGGGAGCCAGGAGCTCTCCCTACTACCCAGGCCCTAGAGGGTCATGGGATCTGCAAGGATTCCTAGAAAATGCCTGGGCCTCTGTGAATGGGACTGTTCAAGTGAGCAACACACTTGTATGGTGGTGTTCCACCCTCCAGGGGTCTGCTTGTTACAGCGGCTAACGCTGCCTTCACCCACCAGTGGCCGGATTCTCTGTGACGTGCTCCCACCTGCCTCTGCCCCTTTCCCATTGCTCCACCTGAGGATCCAACAATACGAAGGTCACAGTTCCCTGAACGGCAACGACGTTTCCTCACACCGCCATCATCCCTGACATTAATTGAGCACCTACTGTGTACCAGGCCCCGTTTCAAGTGCTGCTCCTGTACACACTCATTGCCCCGTCACGACCCCCAGTCAGGAGGTGCGTGCGGCCCTCTGCAGGTTCTGATGCAGGAAAACAGATGTGGGGCATGACAAGGGCCGTGTCCCAGGCTTCGGTTGAGCCCCTGGGGTGTGCCCCACCAGGCGTGGGTCCTTGGCTTCGTGCAGGAAGGAATTCAGGAGCCAGCCACAGTTGAGTTTAGGTAGATTCATTTAGAGAGATACATTGAAAGGCAAGAGAAAGGCCATGAGGTGTGAGGATTGGGTGCTCAGATTAAAAGTAGGTACACATTCCATAGACAGAATGCAAGCCATCTCCGAAGAGGGAGAGAGAGAGGGGAGGCAGGGAGGTGCAGTGTTGCTAGTTTTCATGGGCTCGGTGGCTTCATATGTTAATAAGTGGAAGGACCAGTCTAAGTAGCCTGGGGAAGGGGCTGGGATTCCCAGGACGTTGGCCATTTCCCACTCTTTGACCTTTTGTGGCCAGCCTTGGGACTGCCATGGTGCCTGTGGGCGTGTCATTCACCATGTTAATATATTACAATGGGCGTATAATGAAGCTCAAGCTCTTCTAGAAGTTAAATCTCCCACCATCCTGAGCCTCAAGGCCTCCTGGGGGTTGAATCTTTCACCATTTTGATGTTAATCGCTGTAGCATTCCTTGAGTGGCTGTGCCCTGCCCCCTTCCTGTCTCAGTTCCACCAAGTCCAGCCGGGAGTGGCCCCATTTGCTCCATTCCTCGCCACCCTTCCAATCCCTGCGCAGGACGTTGGTGTCCTCCCTGTGGAGTGAGCCACTTGCCTCTGCTCAGTGTGTTCCTGCTGTGTCATCAGTGTCTTTGAGACAGGATGGGACTGGGGAACCATTACTGGCATGTTTGCACCTGGACAAACATCTCCTAGAGCAACAGAATACAAAGAAACTTTAAGGGGCTAAAAATAGTGTGTGCAGTTGGGGCAAACTATAAACAATAAGATACAAAAAGGCCACAAACCATCTGCCACCTCTGAGGTGTTGGGAGCAGAAGCAGCAGACTGCACACAATCCCTGCACACGGCACCACCAAGGCGGTGGGCAGGCCACCTACGCCTCCCCTCGGGCCTGACCCACGGGTCTACCCCGACCCTCACCCCATTTAGGGACCAGCTTGCCCTCCTTGGAGATCGAGCAAGGGCACCTGTTACTTGCCTTCGCTCTCTCCTGCTGCAGCGTGAGTCCCAGTAATGCCCTGCCTGAATTTCTCGTCTGGCCTCTTATCAATGTCTGTTGATTGAACAGTCCAGGAACCTGGCTGGTAACATCTTCACCCTCACTAACATTTATCAAATCCTTCCCCTGGGGCCACCATTTGTGGCCGTCTGGGCTCATCCCCTCGTGGGTCACAGTGGCCCAGGGAGGGAGGTGAGGTGGCCGGACCCATTTCACGGATGGTGCCGATGAGGACTGCCCAGGGCAAGGGGCACTCCCCTAAACGGCAGGGGCAGGACGGACGCCTGGCTGGCAGGCGGGATCCAGGCCGAGGCTGGGAGCCGGCAGGTCCCACCAGAGGCCCAGGAGAGGCCGCGGCCCTGCGCTCTCTGCAGGGCGCCGAGGCGGGGACATGGCTTTGTCTCTCTGGGTCACCTCCAGTGTCTGACTCCTGGCAGATGCCCAACGTCCAGGCTTGCTGACCTCGTATCTCAACAGTCCACCGTACATCAGCAAACAGATCCACGTCACATGCCGTCAGAGTGGCCGGAGTGCACTGGTCCAGCCACACACCCAGACTGAACGTGCCCTGATGCTCCGGGCCCTCCTTCCCAGCACCCTGTAACCCAGGCACGCTCAAGTCTAGTCACCATCGTCACGCCCACCTGAAGGCCAGGCCCTGGGCCCCAAGTGCAGGGATCAGGAGATTCAGAGGGGCTGGGGCCCCGGCTCTGTTCCCTGGGGCTCAGAATCCCCGGGGTGGGGTGGGGTGAGGATAAGGTTACTGGAGGCTGACCTCTCGCAGGCTGGGCGGGGGGCCCCAGCGGCCCCCTGGCTGGGCCAGCCCTGTGACGCCCGTGTAGGGGCCACACGTGTGCCGGGCCCTGGAGGGATGAGTGGGGTTTGAGCCTCTTTGTGGGGCTGAGCAGGCAGCTCAGGAAGCCTCTGAGTGACCCTGGGGACTGGCTGTTCATTGTCTTCATGACTCTGAGTCACCTCGGTTGCTGAAGCCCCACTGGGCAGCTCTGTGCTGGTTGTCTGGGGAACCAGTGGGCTCTGAGGGCTGAGGTCAGAGGTTCCAGGTTTCGGGAGGTGAGAGTGTAGTCAGTGTGCGTGTGTGTGTGCATGCGTGTATGTGCGTGCGTGCGTGTGTTCTGCACACAAGTATTCACCAGAGGAAACACTGTTTCAGGAGGAGACTGCTCCTAGGCAGCCAGTGGTTGCCAGACTTTGGGATTTCACGGCCTAATAAAACTTTAACAAAGGAGGGACAGGTGTAGCCCACCATGAGGTTTACCAACTATTTAATTTGACGTTAAAAACTACGGATTCCCCTCCACCAACACAATTATTTTAGAAGAGGAAGGGGGGCTTTTGGAGGCACGTCATCTCTGACTGCTTCGTGAAAAGCACCCCCACACAGGCCTCCCTTGCCTTCCGGGTTCCGGACACAGTCCTCCTTCTGCTCTGAGATGCGACCCCAAAGGGCAGGAAAGGGGTCCTAAGGGACCCCATCGCCACCATCGTTCTCATCACCATTACTACTGTCATCATCTTCATCACAGCATCATCGTCGCCACGTCACTGTCTTCATCACCACCAGCACCAGCCCCAGCAGCTTGCCCTGGCCTAGGCTGAGAAGCAGACCACACGTGGCCTTCTCTGCCGTGTGAGCCAGGACGTTCCACATTTGGCTCCAGTCTAGCAGAGCTGGCTTTCTGGCAACCAAGACAAAGGTCAAACTCAGCCTCTGCCTTGATTCTGTCTGGCTGTCCTTTCTACACTGGCCAGGACTCTTGTTTGCCAGAAAGCCAGCTCTGCTAGACTGGAGCCCATTTGCACCCTAAGGCCTTTGCACTTGCTAGATTCTTTCTGGAACGTTCTTTCCCCGGCTCAAATTCTACCGCACTGCGACATCCCCAGCTCCAACAACACAGCCTGGCACACAGGAGGTGCTCAAGCGCTGTGGAACAGCTGAACAAAGGGCTGAAACCCACGCGCTCCTGGACGCTCTGCTCTGTTGTTCACTCTGCCATCGTGGCCCCTTCCTTCTCAGCTGGTGGTGGCCGGGCCATCTCCTTGGGTGTGACTGAGACAGCTGGGGACACGGCACAGAAGGTGGAGTGTAGTCCTGCCTGCTAAGGAGTGAAGCGGCCATCCTATAAACTGAGAAGCTGGGATCCTGGTCCCGCCCTTGGTGGTGATGACGTGTGACCTCATTGCTGCTCCGGGCCCTCATTTTCTCAACCATCAAGT